TGGGCAATAAATGCTGCCTTGCCAGCGACACCCTCATCCCATGAATGAATAAAAAAAAAAGCGGGTATGAGATAAGATAGGAAAGAAACTAGAGAAAGACGCAAATTCAGGACTCAGGCAGGGAAACATTAAAGAAGTTTGACAATTTGGGATAATAAAAGGGAAGATTACAGTTTCAGTTAAAGGGAGTGATATGCATTTTGGTCAGAGGAGTGAGGCAGTAAAGTGATTTCCACTTTCAATTCAGAAGGATTAATGGTTCTGTTCTCAGCAGCCTTCAATCTCATAAGAAAATGATTTGTACCATGATGGTCAACTCTGTGTTAAACATTAAACAAGGAACTGCACATACTGAAGATCTGAAACAAAAACAGAAATCACTGAAGAATCGCCAGTACTGAAACATTAACTCTGCTTTCTCTCCACAGATGATTTCAGACCTGCTGAGTTTTTCCAGCAATTTCTATTTTGGTTTCTATATTAACAAGCATCTGGCAAGGGTCTGTGATCCCACTTTGGCACACTCTATTTGCTGCAGTGGCAGACAATGGGCTGAGAGGGTGCAACATTTACTAGGTTTTTTTCCCCTCCCTGTCTTCTTCTCAGCCAGCTGAGCTTTATGTTGCTGCTCGCCTCTTTCAGTAGTGTTCCAAACAGTCAACACCCTGAGGTGGCTGTATCCCAGTTTGTGTTTTTAATATACTTTATTTTCATACCTCACTTACAGGTGTCCTTGAAACAGAAGTATGGACACTTAGATTCTGACCCAGTGGCCAGTTCACTGTACAGTTGGATACATGGCTGTATTTCATCCAAAAAACATGGTCAAGCCAGTACAGATGTTGTTGGCTTAACAATGAGTGTGTGCTGGTATAATTGGCACTGGAGTCTCATCCTGGATCAGTTGTGGCTGGTTGAATTCCCTTTTTCCGGGGATAGTAATGTAAATTCAGACTTCTTCAAGAGCTGTCTACTTGTGGTGATGAAGTCTTCCAGTGAGTTTTCAACTCACAAATGTTGATGAGAGGGTTTTGAGAGAAAAGAGAGAGGGTTTCTGAGTTGATGATGCTGTCCTATCAAGAGATTTTGAAGATGCATCTAAAATGATACTAACTGTTCAGCCTTTTCTTCTGCCTAGCATATGCTGTCCATGTCTCAATACTGTCAAGTTCCAGAGGATGTAGGTTTCATAGATGTGCAGTTTGGTGTTCTCAGTCACTTGTTTTTCCACACTTAGACGTAAACCCAGTTACCACTTTTGCAATGCATACGTTAATTCCAGCATCAAATAACAGATTGCTGATGGGGAAGTTTTAGTAAAGCTGGTAACAGTAGATTCAGTTCTGAACTGATAATGCAGTAGGAAATGTCAGTAAAACTTGTGACATTGACAGTAAATACTGGTAAAAGTGGAATTGAAACATATAGAGCTACCAAACGGGTTATTTTTCCAGTTTATTGAGTGATACTCCTGTTGTGAACTGTGTTTATTACTGCTGCATATACATATTGCAAGCTCGAATGAGGATCAACTGATGTCAGTAGTTGACTGAAAGTGTGCAGTCCTTTTTCACCGTGTGTGAGAGAGAATGAAGGTGCCCCAGATTAATACATGGGATTTGGCAGAACTTGAAATGGCACTTCCATATGTCCAGGCAAAAAAGTCAAAATAAAGGTTTGAGTATAGCTTTGCAAATTATGAAGATATGTTATCCAAAATATTTATTTGAAATATCAGTGGTTGATCATATATATATTTTATAGCTTCGTTTATTTTTTGGAAAGAACCCTTTATGAAACAAAAGACATTGGTTAAGCAGCATAATGTTGCATTTATATTTAAAACAAAACAAGCTGCTTGGACAGAGACACTGAGCCTGCGACATGTTCAAAGAGAGATCATATCAACCAGGTTGTGGGTGTAAAATATATTCATTTCAAACACAGACTGAACTTGCCACAGGAGAAACAGCCTTTGCCCTATCTCTCTTTCTCTGAAACCCTTCTCATCAGAGTTTGAATAGAAACCTATCATCGTGACATCATGCCCCTTCGCATTCAATAGCATTACTATCACTGAAAGCCCACTATCAAGTCCCAGCAGCACCACTGGTACCAGCTTGGATGTAGGAGTTTCCGGAAAGGTGACATGTTTACATCATCTGCCTTTGAGCTTCTCTCCAGAGGGTTTCTCTTTGCCAAGGTTTACTCCCTTTGCCTTTAACCCTTTTGAGGCATCAACAAGATAGTACGTACAGTGGTTGAGCCCACAGGAAAGTCTGCAAGTTTCCTCAGAATGCTGACGCTCAGGATGAATTAGAAACCTTTGCATGGAATATACTCCTATGCCCTGTTCCGGCCTTGTTTTTCAGTGCTCTTATGACTATCACTTCTCGGGCTCTCAGCTTGTTCTCACTTCCTGAGCTAGTGGCTTCTGCCAACCCTGAGAGTTAACCCACTCACCTTGTTCTGATGCCCCTTCTCTGGCTCCTGCTGGATTTTAAGTAGGGGCATAGGTGCGACTGAGAGGCTGAGTGCGTAAGGGTGATTGGAGAGTGAATGACTGACAGAGTGAGGGAGTATGTATGTGTATGGGGGTGTCAGGCTACACCATGCAGTCAGTCCCCAGTTCAGAGCTCTCTGTGGCTGCTAATGCACAACTAGTCACAGCCCAGCTCTGCTGATATATTCAGGTACAAAGTTATCTCTGTAAAATCCAAAAGAACTGTGGATACTGTAAATCAGAAACAAAAACAGAGGTTTCTAGAAAAGCTCAACAGGTCTGGCAACATCTGTGAAGAGAAATCAGAGTTAATGTTTTGGGTCTGAGGAAGGTCACTGGACCCAAAACGTTTAACTCTGATTTCTCTTCACAGATGCTGCCAGACCTGCTGAGCTTTTCCAGCAACTTCTGCTTTTGTGACAATGTTGTCTCTGGCTGGATTTAGCTTGTCCCAAGGACAATCCAATCCTCTGGTTATCGAGTGATGGAGTCATGCAGCAGGGAAACAGACTCTTCGGTCCAAATAGTCCATGCTGACCATGTTCCCAATCTAAGCTAGTCCCACCTGCCTGTGTTTGGCCAATATCCTTCCAAACTTTTCCTATTCATGTACTTATCCAAATGACTTTTAAATGTTGTAACTGTACCTGCATCCTCCACTTCCTCTGGCAGTTCATTCCACACACAAACCACTCTCTGTGTAAACAAGTTGCCCCTGCTGTCCTTCGTAAAACTTTCTCCTCTCACCTTAAAAATATACCCCCTTGTTTTGAACTCCTCCACCCTAGGGAAAAGATCCTTGCTATTCACCTTAGCTATATCTCTCATAATTTTACAAACATCAATAAGGTCACCCCCACATTTCAGTGAAAGAAGTACCAGCCTTTCCAGTCTATTTTTATAACTCAAACACTCAATTCCCAGCAACATCCTGGTAAATCTTTTCTGAAACTTCTCCAGTTTAATAATATCCTTCCTCTAATGTGGCGACCAGAACTCCACACTATTTCAGAAGAGGCCTCACCAATGTCCCGTACAACCTCAACATGAAGTACCAACTCCTTTGCTGAAAAGATCTGAGCAATGAAGGCAAGTGTGCTAAATGCCTTCTTAACCACTTTGTCTTCCAGTGATGCAACTTGCAAAGAATTATGTGCCTGAACTCGCAGCTTTCTCTTCTACAGTGCTACCCAGGACCCTACCATTAATTGTATAAGTCCTGTCCTTGTTTGAATTAGCAAAATGCAATGCCTCCCATTTATCCAAATTAAACTTCATCCACCACTCCTCAGCCCATTGACCCAATTGATCAAGATATCTTTGTACTCTGAGATAACCTTTTTCACTGTCCACTCTACCACCAATTTTGGTGTTATCTGTAAACTTACTAACCATGTCTCCTATAATGCCATAGAACATAGAACAGCACAGGACAGCACAGGCCTTTCAGCCACGATGTTGTGCCGACCTATTATCCTACTCTAAGATCAAACTACCCTGCATATCCTACATTTTACTATCATCCAAATCGTTTATATAAATGACAAACAAAAGTGGACCTAGTACTGATCACTGTGGAAACAACTGGTCACAGGTCTCCAGTCTGAAAAACAAGCCTCCACTGCCACTCTCTGTCTCCTACTGTCAAGCCAATTTTGTATCCAATTGGCAAGCTCACCCTGAATCCCATGTGACCTGATAGCTGGACACAATTGCATTTTCCTATTGATTTCAATGGATCTTTCCTTCTGGGGCATTGTCTATAATGGGTTTGTCCATAGGCACTTGGGTCATAAGTACTATGGGAGTCCTGCCCCTCTGAGGGGACGAGTTGGCTGGACGGCTGGTTTGTGATGCAGTGTGACACCAACAGCACGGGTTCAGTTGCCACTTTCTGAACCTCTCTCCTCACCTGGAGTTAAACTCTCTAGCGGTCACCTCTCTCTTCCCCAATCTGTTTGTTCCTTTGGGACAATGGTGACTTGTCCTTCACCTTATGGCTGTGTGGGGAAACCCTCCTCCTCCTGAAAGGAAAAAGCCTGGACCACCCTCAGGAGACACTGTGGAAGCCTCCTTCCCTGAGGAGAGGGACTGGGGAGACAGATTTACACATAAGGCTGGCCTTTTGACCTGGCTGTTAACCTGAAACCAAGAAGGAAACGAGCTCACAAAACCAGAAAGCTCAATACAACTGTGTACCCACACTGGACCCCCAGCACAGCCACTGGAAATCCAAATGTTTACAGTCTCTGTTTAAGGACTCTAGCCTATACTTTTCAGGAGTGAAGGTGTGAGTTTCAGTTCAGCGGATCCTTATGATTGTTACGTGGGGTGGGGGGAGAGAGGGGAACAGAGAAACTCGCTGTATGATCCTTCACCGCCCAATGTGAGAGAAACCAGGCTGACAGTGTGTATTGACTGGCAGCGTTTGCTGTGGTTCAGCTCATAAGGAGCCTCTAACAACAAGGTTCACGTTCTTGCTGAGGGAGGGGACAGCATGAGGAGGAGTCGAGCCCTGAAGCGAAGCTGCCGAGCAGTTTGTCACATTCCCAGCCCCACACTGTGCTGTTTGCAATCTCACAACCAGGCGACCCTGCATCAGCTGAAGGTACGAAGCGTTAATTTTGTTTTTTTTAAAAAAAAGAGAGGAAATGCCTGAGGCTGGCGATTGGCTGCTTTTAGGGCGAGGACTGGGGCTGGATGTGTTCGCTAGTTATTTACCAGGACCGTGAGCTCGTCCCACAGCGCAACATGCTCAGCAAAATCTGGTAGTCTTTGTGGAGGGAGAAACTGAGATTATATTTTAAATCTGTGCCCTCTCATCACAATATACCCTCGAGCCTGTTTCCCAGCAAGGCGGTAGAAATATAGCTAAATACACGAGGAAGAAAGTAATGAGAGCAATGTTTATCAAATTCTAGGTTTCTGTTTGTGTGTTGGTACAGTCAAATGTTGACTGTAAAGTAAGTGCGTACTTTAAAGGTCCCGTCCTCCAGCTCTCCTGAAGTGTTTTGTATCAATGATATTGTTCTGTTATGGAGCCGAAGTTCCCACTGTAAGTGAGTGGGAAACAACCTTCCCCCCAGTGAGTTAGTGAGGCGCCAGACTCCATTCACTGGAGCACCTCAACCAGGCTGACCTTCCCACTGCATCATCCCATCGTTACTTTGTCTCTTGGATGAGTTCTCTCAGCTGAACAGTAAAGATCCTCATTATTTCAAAGAGAGGCCGCCTGTCATTTATCCCTGAGCCAGCGTTACTGGAAGAACCACACTATTTGTTCTGATTGTTGTTATAAGGGCGGGCCTTATCGAGACTGGGATAGTGATAGTTTAGGGGAATGTGAGAAGTCTCAATATCATTTTCCAGTTCAGCTTGTTTACAGGCCAGTGAGGAAAGGGTCACTACTGGATCAATTTCTAACGAATGAGATGGGTTAATTGTTTCAGGTGTCAATAAGGAAACATCTACGGATCTTAGTATGGGAAAGCTTAGATTAGCTATGGAATGGAACAAGGAGCAGTCTACAGTATAAATGTACAATTGGAAGAGTGGCCGTTTCTGTTGAAAATAAATTGCCTTGAGTAAATGAGAATGGAAGATTAGCAGACTGAAATGTCAGTAAATAATAAATTGCCTTTATAGAGGAGATGGTTCCAATATGGCCAACAGCCGTTCTAACAAGGTGGAAGGAAAAGGCAATGAAGTGGTGCTCCAATGATGAAAGACAGTAAAATGACACATAAGGCAGATGTTGAATGCTAATACAAATGAAGATCAGGCTGAAACTAGAACATACAGAGGAAACTGAGAACAAAATAAGGGCAAAAGGACATTGCGAACCAGCATCGAAATACATCCAAAAGTTCTCTGTCTGGGCATGTATATAACAAAGCAATAGTAAGAAGTGGGTTGAGGCCAATTAAGGATTAAAAGAAGATGCACCATTGAAGGCAGGGTAATGGCTGCAAAACAAAATGAGTAATTTACTGCCTTTACCAAGGAAGATGATGTGTTGAAGTCAGAGTGAAAAAAGGCTAGTGACACACTTCATGGATCAAAGATTGCTAAAGAACAGGTATTTGGCCCCTCTAAAAGTTGGTAAGTTGCCTAGGCCTTATCAGACACATCAAGGATAGTGAGCACAATTTTGGTAGAAAATGGGGAGGTGCTGGCCATAGTTTTCCAAACCTTGTTAGACATTGGTGGTACCAGAAGATTGGAGAATTGTTCAAAGAAGCAGGAAAGCTGAGTTTCGGGTCGAGAGAAGGGTCTTGACCCGAAACGTCAGCTTTCCTGCTCCTCTGATGCTG